GCCGTGAACTACGTAGGAGCAGGTATGGCAAACCCAGCTTCCTTTTAATGCTGAACACAGGTTCATAGGGAAAGGTATTTCTCCTTTTTATTCTTTCCATGCTTGGAAAGAAATTACGTAAAGAATCTTGGGACTCTTTCTAGCCATCAGCAGGTTAACTCCCCTGACAACTGAATAGGATCGGACCAAATTTAGTATATAGGGGGAAAGAAACCTCAAGTTCAAAAATGATCCAGTTCAGCCTCGGGACTCCAAAGAAAAACATTTTAGGAGAAATTTCCCAGTGTGTCCCCAGCAGGAGCAGCAGTTTGATTGACAGTTCAGAAGGATAGATGGACATATTCCAAGTTTCCCTCCTGCTCCTCCCACCGCCTCCTGGTCACATGACTCTGTGTGGTGCTGCTGATAGGAGCTGGAAAGAAGTCAAGTCTTATCTCTATAGGTCAAGTACTTCTCAACCTTGGTGGCTTTAAGACAGTGTTTCTCAACCGTGACAATTTTAAGGCATGTGGACTTCAACTCCCAGAATTCCACAGCCAGCATTGCTGGCTGTGGAATTCTGGGAGTTGAAGTCCACATGCCTTAAAATTGTCAAGGTTGAGAAACACTGCTTTAAGAAGTGTGGACTTCAACTCCCAGAATGCCCCAGCCAGCATAGCTAGCCGGAGAATTCTAGGAATTGAAGTCCATGCATCTTAAAGTTGCCAAGGTTGGGAAACCCTGTTTTAGCCTCTCATACATAGAGCAGGATCCCAAAAAAGAATTAAAGGTATCAGCAGGGTGTGATCAAAAAAAGTCAAAATGGCAGCCACAACAGACTAATCAAAGCACGTAAATGCACATAAAACCAGGCAGAGCTTTAACTGCACTGTCATGGCCGCCATGTTGACTTTTTTTTTTTACACTCCTGACTGAAATCAACAGTCTGCTATAAAATAAGATACCTGGCTGCTGTAACCTCAGTTTAACTCGGCTTAAAGGAGGGCATACCCATGCTGGCTAAGTAATTCTGGGAGTTGAAGTTCCTACATTTTAAAGCAACCAAGGTTGAGAAACGGTGCTATAAGGTTTTTTCTACCTTATTTGTATTTTGGAGAGTTCAGATTCCAATTCAACAAAACATGTTGCAATATATCACAACTGAGCCTAATAGCTTTTAAGGCTTCTTTTGAAGGAGCTACATGTTAATTAAACTGAGAAATATTGCTTTCTGAAGGATTTCTCAGGTATACATAGAGATAAATAATTTTAACCATTAGTTTGATTTACAATGCTTACTTTAGAGCAGGGGTAGGCAACCTTGGCTCTTTTATCATTCGTGGACTTCAACTCCCAGAATTCCTGAGCCAGCCATGCTGAGGGAAAAGGGAGAGGTTTCCAAGCTAAGCCATGCTGGCTCAGGCATTCTGGGAGTTGAAGTCCACGAGTCATAAAAGAGCCAAGGTTGCCTACCCCTGCTTTAGAGAGTGAATCGCAGGACAATGAAGCTATACTGGGATTGTATTCATTTGCAGTTTTAATATTCCGATCTTTGTATACTATGCCTTTGTTAAATGTTTTAGGAACTGTGGAGTTCATCATGGACAGTGCACATAATTTTTATTTCATGGAAATGAATACCAGGCTGCAGGTAGAGCATCCGGTTACAGAGATGATCACAGGGACTGACTTGGTGGAATGGCAATTGAAGGTAAGAAGTAGTAAAGCATAGGAGTTCTGTTGGATTCTCAAGAAGCAAGTTCTTTCACCTGGGACCATTAATCATATTATTTCTGTAGAAATATTCAGAGAAGGAGTTTTGGAATTATTTTTTTCTTGTTAGGCTTGGGCAAAGGGTGGCACCGTGCATATCCATTCTCCCCCATTTAATTATACTGTCATAGTTCCGACAGATGAAACTCTTCAAAAGAACTTCGAGGCATTGTTTACCTTACAAATCTTTTATTTGAGTAGCATAATATCGGCACTGCATAATCGAAGCCAAAAACTGAATTCCCCTCCCCTGAGCACATAGTATCAGAGCACAATTCCCTCCTCCAATTAACAGTCATAAACCACATTCCCCAATTAGATTGAAGCATGGCTTCCTCTCCAGCTCTCCAGCCCACCAATTCGTTATCAGCTCTGGGCTCAATAACCTTGATTCTCACGCTAAGTTTAGTGTTGTTATGTCTAGCTAGACTCTCATTCACATCCCCCCCTCCCAGCATCATCTAACTCTAAAAGCGAAAGGGAAAAAGATGGCTACATTTCCATCTGTTGTCAATGCAAAAACATCCGATGTTAGCAGCGTTGACATATACACTCTCACATGTGCATTGTGTGAGGTTTGGGCTTTGTGAGTTTCTGCATTATGAAAATGAAGGATGGAAAGTTTGGGACAATATCTTTGGGACAGAATTCCGCTCGTAGTCCTTGAGAGGCACAGATTTCCAACTGGAAAAGCAAAATTTGGGAGAGCACCAGAGGTTTTGGAAACATTTAATGGTTAGAGATTGTCAACAAAAGTCTGTGTAGATAAGGAATTTACAAATGTATTTATGAGAGCAGGGTTTTTTGCAGCAGCAGCTAGCGCCTTCATACCTACACAAACAGGGCCGCTAGTGTAGTGTGGGTGCACGTGGTCCTGTTTCAGCGTGTGCACGCGTGTGTGCAAATTTCCTAGCTGTTCCCTTTCCCTCTGGGATCCCAGCATGAAAAGGTTGGTGACCTCTGGCTTAGAGAGTGCCGTAAAGCAGTATATAAGTCTAAGTGCTATTGCTATTAAGCTATGGGTTGTTTTTGCAGATTTGTCTTTAATTTTTTGGAATTCTATCTAAGCATCAAACAAGAAATTTGTGACTTGACTATTCCTTTCAGCTCTACGTTCTATTAGAAATGCTGTCGTTAAATTATGGACAGAGTTAGAGAGGAAACAATTTCATGCAGGTTGCTTTCTATCAATTAGCTTTTTTCCAGAAGCCTTTTCATTTCCTCGGCCTGTGACCCAATATTTTTTCTTGAAGGTTTTTTTTTATATTCCGATTCCCTAATAACCTACTCCAAATTTTGCAGGTTTCAATTCTTCGATCTCATATTAGGTAAACTTTTCTGGGATGTTCCCTTCTTTGTTTATCTTATTTGTGATTATGATTTTTTTTAATGTTTTAATGATATTTTGACACTGTTGTAAGCCTGCCATAGTCACTTGACAACGCGATGGACAGCCTATAAATTTCATAAATAAACATAAATAAGTCCTTGTGCAGAGAAAATGAGCAGTGCTGTTCTTTACAGGTTGCTGCAGGAGAGAAGGTGCCTCTGACTCAGGAAGAGATTGTCCTCAAGGGACATGCATTTGAAGCTAGGATCTATGCTGAAGATCCCAACAACAACTTCATGCCAGGAGCTGGACCGTTACTGCATCTGTCCACACCATCTGCTGACAGCTGCACCAGGATAGAAACTGGGGTAAGACAAGGTAAAATGAAGCCCTCTCACTAGGATTGGCAGAAATGTCTTCTGGTTTTAAAAGGCAACCTGCTGACGGTTGCCTTTGTTGAAACATGGGACGGGTGACCAATGTTGTTGGTTTCCTCCTACAGTACCAAATCAAGGGTCTACGATAGTGATGGCGAACCTTTTAGAGACTGAGTGCCCAAACTGCAACCCAAAACCCACATGCATCGTCGAGTGCCGGGTGGGTGTGGCCCATTGGGTGGGTGTGGCCAATTGGGAGGATGTGGCCAATTGGGTTGGCATGGCTGCGGTGGTAACGGCAGACTGGGTGGGACTAAAAAGTTCAATCAATCAATTCCAACTTTGCAAGATCTTTTTTTTTCCCGCGAGAAGTTGAAAGTTGAAATTGACTGATTGAACCTTTTTTTTTTTTTGCACACGGCGGCGTAGGCCTAAAGCGAAAAGGTTTTATAAAACCCAGCTGAAGGCCTAGGACTGGGGCAACAGTGCGCGTGCCCACAGAGAGGGCTCTGAGTGCCGCCTCTGCCACCCGTGCCATAGGTTCGCCACCATTGGTCTATGACAACTCACCACAGCCAACTCACTGCAGCCAACTCGTCGCAACGAACTTGCGGCGGGAGAATCCGCCGTGGACAACTCGCCATGGGACAAGAGTTACACTAATATCGAAGAAATAGTGGAATAGAATCATTAAAGAAAGGAGGGACAAAATGAAAGGAGAATGACAAAAATTAAAATATTTTTAAAATTATTTTAAATAATTAAATTGGATTGTTGAATTGTCCCGTGGCAAGTTGTCGCGTGGTGAGTTGGCCATGTCGAGTTGTCCTGCAGTGAGTTGACCATGGCAAGTTGGCCATGACGAGCTGTCCCATTCCCCCAAATCCAAGTTCTCTTTTATTCAGATGTTGAGGTTAAGCTTCATGGCTCTTCTTGCCACCAGTTTCAATAATACCTTCTCCAAGAGTTTGATTTTGAAACGTTCTGCAATTTTTCAGTAGAATCTCAGTGCGGGTAATCTTCGAATTACGACCACAGTTGAGCCCAAAATGTCTATTGTTACAGTAAGTGAGACGTGTTAATTGAATTTTGCCCCATTTTACGACCTTTCTTGCCACGGTTGTGAAGTGAATCTTTGGAATTGTTAAGTTAGTTACACGGTTGTTAAGTGAATCTGGCTTTACCATTGACTTTGCTTGTCAGAAGGTTGCAAAAGACGATCACATGAGCCCGGGACATGGCAACCGTCATAAATGTGAGTCAGTTGCTAAGGGTCTGAATTTTGATCACGTGATACTGCAATGGCATAGGTGTGAAAAAAGGTCATGGGATATTTTTTTTATTTATTTATTTATTTATTTTATTTATAATTTAATTTGTATCCCGCCCTTCTCCTCACCGGACTCAGGGCGGCTAACAGCCTTATAAAACAACATTACAATAAATATCCATATTAAAACCAAATTAAAAGAAAATATTCGTAAAGGCCAATCGTTAAAATTACCCTTAAAATTACCCTTAAAAACCCCACTAAAATTCCC